AGGACAAAGAGAGGCTATCATTGTGATCTTAATCATAAATGGCCTAATAGGGTATGATAACCCTACTTAACAACTTGGAAGCCAAATTAGGGAATGAATGGCCCAAGTTAAAGGCTTGAAGAGGAAGACTAATGATGGCAATGACTTTCAAGACCCCTTCATCATTAGCTTAAACTTTGGCCCTCTCTTCATAATGGGATTGGTAGGCCATACTATAAATAGAGAGTGTCCCCACTTGGTCCCCTTCTTCCCCATGCCAACCCCACCATTCGGCCAACCAATTCTCACGCCCCCACCACCATCTCTCTCTCACACCACTTTCTCTTCAGCGCCACTAAATCTTGCCTTTTGTTCGGTTGTTGTAAGTAGATTCCCTAATCTCAGGATAGGATGTTATAATGTGTTGTTGACTTGTGTCTTTACCTGAGCCATGATAGGGATTTGCATGTTGTTTGCTCATGTGCTTTGTTGTTTGCAATAGTCACGAGTCAAAGCACGACTCGGTCACGAAAGAAAGAACGTATGTCTTGTACGCACGCTATGGCGTTTGATCGAGACTTGCTTGGTAAAGGTTCGATATTGAGGCATATCAGATCCGAGCTAAGTATGGTTCGTTCAACGTTTGGCGCGTCGGATCAAGTCACGGACCCTGGATCATGGCTGACATATTAGTTGATTACGGTTTATTGTCCATGATTTACACTTACACACATGCCTTCGGGCACTTTTTTTGCATGGACTATTAAAGAAAGATAAGAAACCGGCTTGCTTGATGATTGTGATGCATGGACACACGAGGGACTAGAGCCGTCTACGACGGATTTTGAGACGTTACTCGATGGATTTCGGAAGAACCAATGGATTTCAGTTATTAATGAACGAATCCTGTGTGTTTATTCATGCATGCATCATTTGTATACCATGCTTAAGGTTCTCATGGCTATTGCATGTACCACGAGTAATACATAGGCAAGGTAAGAAGCATCTTTGCTATTGATCTGCCATCGATACCCGAGGCGGTAAGTTTGGATGCTTGTCCGACGACAATTGCTTCCTCCTAACTTAACATTAGTGGATTTACTTATTGAGTCCTTGACTCACTCCTCGCGGTTTTCCTCAGACTTGTAGGATGGCGACACCACCCGTTCGTTTTGGGACCCCGGTGGAAATGATAGTGGATGTGCTGGACGTCATAGACGCGGATGAGGGTCGAGCCTACCGCAAGGTTATCTCCCAAATTAAGGTGGACGAGGATTTAGACAACCCCGTTCGCCACACGTATGAGGCCCGGTACATGTGGACGGAGGGCGGTCAATTTGGCCCTCTTCGCGGGTTCAATGGGCCGTTTGGGAGAGCCAATGGACCTGCACCTGAGAACGCAGCGAATGGAGCCTAGGCGGCCGACCTGGCTTGGGAGGAGTTGGACTTGTTTTGGGAGAACTTTTTTTGGTGGATGCTCACGGTAGCGGAGATAGGAGTAACCCGACCGTACATGTTATAGCGGATATGCGTACAAGTATCGGCCCGTAGGAAGAAAGGGACATGTAAATATTGTTAGCTTGTAAAATATAAGCTATCATGTAAATACAAACTTGTTCATAGTGTGTTTTGCCAACCCCGTCGTTTGTTTGATGTTGTTGTGATTGTCCCAAGTATATGCTTCTGCTTACTCGTAAAGAAAGTTAATAATGAACAGAACGTCGCAAAAATAACTCCCGCGGATCACGATTCTGAGACGGGGCTTGACAACTATCAATGTTCCTCTTTCCCTTCAACCGAGCCCACGAGACGAGTTGACGTGGACAAGCCCCTCCGACCGAGCTACTGCGCTTGATCCGAGAAGTCTTTGCTAAGCAGCAGCCACACCAACGACCAGCCATGAAGCCCTTGCAACGTCCTCATGCAGGCCGAACCTCCCTAGTCTACATCACAAGGCCCAAACGACGGACCCCGTTGTTATTACGTCTACATCGTCGAGAAGTCACCGGGCGTTGTCCTCGGCCTCTCCTAGAGTCCCTTGCTACCATTGTAGCTATCGCATCTCACCGTCGTCGTCGTAAGTGTCTCTGCTTTGCAAATTGATCCATGACCATACCGTGATCATCCGCCCGTTGGTTTGAATTTGGAAGCAATATCCACGAAATAGGTAACAATCCCTATCTAATTAGATTTAAATATTTCATAAATTGTTATCCAACTTGATATTCTTTGAGATGTTAGACATTATCCAACTAGAGTTTTACAGTTGAAAATCACTATAATTATTAATTTGATCCGCAAGACTTCGGATCATTTTTTTTAATTATTTTGATCTTTCGTGAGTATTGGTGATGTTTAAGATTATGACGATTGTTAATTTAATCCGTGAGACGATGGATTATTTTTTCAATTACCATAATCTTTGATTGAAATCTCGTTGAATATCTTGGTGGATATCTTGGGCGATTCGATATTATCTCTTCCTATTTTGCGGATTGAAATTGATTTGTTTCCCATTTAAAAAAAAGTTCAACTTATATATGTTAGATTCCTTTTCTTAGAAAGTATCGCATGTTTAAGTTAGATTATTCATTTATTCCGAATTTAATAAATAAAAAATACAAAAATATATCACATGCATCTCATATAGTTTGCATGTTAGGAAATCGCATGTCATATAGATTAGGCTTTATTTCAAAATAAAAGAAAATCCCAAAAATGCTTTGATTGCTTTTGTGTGTTTCATTTCTTTGTTTTCTTGCAATTCATTTGATTTATTTATTGATTGTTATTTTTTTTAAGTGGTTGCGTATCCGCATGATCACTCCTCGCATGTTAGTGGATAGGTTTAAAATCAATCCAAACTGTCTGCAATATATATATATTGAATAAAAGAGAAAAGGTACTAAAAGGGCGTTAGAGTAATCTAGCATAAACAAGTCCCCGAACTCTTAATATCTTGTTTGTAGGAGTAAAGTAAATATTCCAATACTTTATTTGAATTTCTAATCTACCCACCAAAAATAGATTAGTTGCGACTCCTAAATAAAAATGATTTGCATGTTAAGAATTTGAACCAAGTCGTGAATTAATATGGGCTTGAGAGAGCCCGAGCCAGGTTCAAGCTTAGTAATTCATTAGCCGAACCCTTAGGTGGTACACTCGAGGGTAGGTCGTGACAGTCATTTCGTTTTCTTTTTTTCATATGCTTTATCTTCCTCGTACGCTTGCCAGATCCATCTCCATCATTGTCATCGTCGTCGTTCATCATCGTCGTCTGTCACCGTTTGTAGCAGCCACAACCAACGCATGTATCTCTCGAGCAAACCTCCTATAGAGGTTGTGCTGCGAGTTGAGGTCACGCGACCTTCAAGATATGGAGGGTGCGTCTCAGATCTGAGGTCGAGCAGAGAGAAAACTGTGGTGATTGGCGGCTACTGGCCTAAGACGGTGGTGGTAGTTGATGGCGATAGTGGGCGGTGGTGGTTCGGTGGTTGGCAGTGGCTGAAATGAGTGGTGGTGGGCTGAAGAGAGGAGAAAAAGGAAAAGGAAAAGAGGAAAGGAAATGAAAAGAAAAGGTCAGGAAAAATAAATGGTGGGACTATTTTCACCCCCAGCATGTCTAATCCACTCCATTTTCACTGTATAAATAATGATGATTTTCATACTTGCATAGTTTCCTTCAATTTTCTGATATTCCTCTTATAGAAAACAACGTGGTCAGAAAGAATTGAAATTCTTTGGTATTTCGATAAAAGGGTGAGGCGAAAGAAAAAGAGAGAAAGGAAACTTGGGATTCAATTACCTTTTAACATGTATTGTTATTAATACGTGAAAATGTGTATCATCGTTACCTACGGTAAATTTGTGTAGTTTTTAATGACCCTTGCCATGTTGACGCGTTGATGTTGCTGTCCCTCGGCAACTAAATCATTTCCAAACCCAATGCACAGTTGTTCATCGCAAGGTGTCGACATCAAATTCATTTGCAACTTGCCATAAAATATGACATATGGTTTCAACTTTTGAACTTTGTGGCCAAAGACAACATTACCATTCACGTGCTCTAGAGTATGTGAAAACCCCAGATCAAAAATTAAAAAGAGTGCTATCATCATTCATCACCGCGAGGCGGAGCGCTACTTGCGATTGGTCGAAACTCAACCCACCACAAATTTTTAGTGGTGAATGTTTCACCATCAAGATTGCCAAAACGACAAAGTCCTGCCATCGCTCATTCTGTCGTGAATTGGAGTTCCCATTTGGTAATAAACAAAAGGAAAATCCATCTCATTCAAGTCAATCTAAACTATATATATGTCAAATTTAGTCCCTATCGAAATGAGTCAAAATGACCATGCCTCAAAACCAGAGTGGCTGTTGGCCTAAAGACAGCCATAACCTCTCCAAACCCACTTGCCATTAATCTCCATTCTTGTCCCTTTACTTCGCATAAAATAAGCCATCGATGATGGTGATGGATAAGCGAAGCGATGATGCTCTTCCATGGTTCCATGCAAAACCATGGCCCAGCCAAAGCTTTTTGTTTAACTACGCGTGTCCTGATCTTCCATTTTGAGCAAATCTTGTGGTTGGGATCCTCCAACCAATTTGATTCTCAGGCTCTTCCTAATCATTGTCAAATAATGTTTAACTTAATCATACATCAATCTTGGCCTGCATGGAGGTTAGCACGCAAAGGCCCTAATAAGGTGAGAACATAGGAATCATCCTCTTTGCCCATTTCTGACCACAATCGTTAAACCAAAACAAAACCCTAATTTTCAAATCCAATGAAAGCGATGGATGACTTAGACATCTTCCATTACGCAAAAATACATGCATAATAAAGACACATAGGTTTCACTGTACACTCGTCACCAAACCAAAAGACAGGAAAATTAAAGAAGCTTCTCATGGGGCTATAGCTTTCAGATTTCCTTTTTAAGGTAAAATAAAAAAGGTCGCCATTATCACCATACATTCTTTAGTATATTGCTATAATTGCAGCGATGATGACCTCAAATTTGGAAGCTGGACCGGCCTTTACATAGCAATCCGTTGTCCTTGGATGAGACCTCGAATTGGGTCGCAAGCTGATCGAATCGTTCAGATAGAAATAAGCTCCGAAGGCCTCTCAATGTCCGCGAAACCCCGACCTCCACGGTGAATATCGCCTTCACCGGCCTATGATCAGACAGCCTCGATTCGCCCCGCGTGTACAGATGTTGCTTCAATCCTTTCCCGCACCAAATTATCCTATCACACCTGCATAAGAAAAGGAAACAGATTAACTACATGAAAGAGAATAAATAAACCTTGTTATGCTTATTCTTTTCGAGCTCTCGACGATGGCAGTTCGAGAAAATAAATTTACCATGCCGGGGAACGCCTTTTTTCTCCCTTTTTTTCTTGAAAGCATCCGTAATACAAGTCGGAGTTCGGTATATATTTGTATGTGGGGGCGAATTTGATCGTCCCTTCGTGCCAACCTTGTAATACATGCCCCTTCATCAGCTTCATCCTCAGCTTCAGTTTTACAACCAAAAACAAGAACAGATGACTTTCAGAATCAACCAATATTGAATATACAAAGATCAATATCATTCCTTATATGTGTGGCATTAATAACGTAATTCCATACGTAGTTAAGGTTAGTAATGAAAGATAATCTCCAATTACTGTAAACAGAACGATATTCTATCATGAGACTACTTCGAGAGCTAACTCTTTCGCATCATTCGATCTGATAAGATCTCGAAAATTCTGGGACTGTGGGCTAGCTACCTGGTCTTTGTCTAGCAATGCATTCCATTCTTTTCTATCCACCAGTTCTCGAGTGGTCGCTTCTGGCAAGGAAATCCGATAATTCAAGTCCCCGAGCAGAATAACCCGACTGCGTTCACATGCCAGACACAATCAGCTGAGACCACACAGATATTTCGAAGCTGAATATATTGTTTACAAACCGCTAATCAGGGTCTCGCAATCATTACGAATTGATTAGTAAGTCAACTTGTTTAAACTATAGGATAATACAGCAAGTAGACAGGCTTACCACTATACGTCTCATCCTTTTCAGGCGGTTTATCTAACTACTTAACTTAATTGGCTGGAGAAGCAATAAAATGGTTCCTCAACAACCACTAAAATCACGTAAACCGGTTTAAGCGACAAAACAAGAAGAATAACACTAATTAATCTTCTTTGGCTGCCCAACGTCCATGACGACAAATGCACAGTTGTGAACATGCAATAATGATTATTTATCACATATTATATGTGCATAGTCACGTCTTATCCTCATGGCTTCAAGCGAAGAAACAATTTTAATAGGAGCAAATGAATAAATAAACATAATTGAATTGGTTAGAAGGTTTGAAACAAGCAAACAAAACATAAAATTTTAGCTTCACCTACTCGTGGTCCAGAATTTTTCTAGGTAAATTAAGCAATGGGCCCCTAGGAAATGTTGTCCGAGATAAAATCTCTGCCACATTGGACGTCCGACACTTATCGTCTCCTACTCTGCCCCCGGAGGCGAGATGAGTGCACACAAAGCAGAAGCTTGTCTCGTGCAACTGAAACCTCACTGAAACCGACCCCTGCAAATCAATCCAAAATTGAGAAGAAATAAGATGATGAAGAAAATATAAACGAAAGTATATATTCTCATATCGTGTGGCTCAGCGTAGAGTATATTAGTACTATACGGATACCCTCAGATAGCTCCTTTTTCAAATTTTAGGTAGGACCTTCTGAGATGTGCATATATATACACATTATTTGTTATGAGGATCTTTGCATTAAGAACTTTTTTTCCTATCTAAATCTTGGCAACTTTACAAGTAACATCTCATGTATGAGAAACCAAGATAGATGCATAGATTATTTTTATATGATACAACTAGTAAAATCAATCGTTTTACAAGATGAAGATCCACAACCCTTTTGCAGTGTCTCCATTGGTGTGACAACGACTCTCAGCTGTTGATGTATTCAGTTATAAATGTCACAATTATCCTTATCCACGTAAGTTGATGGTTTCAGTGAACGAGACAACGAACTGAGACGTGAACGGCCATAGAGGATCTCATCCCCGTTCTACATGCTACGGACAATCTACAAAACCGAGTATTTATCATACCTTGTTGCCTAGGCAGCCCATAACGCCGCAACCGACGCATGAAACACTAGGATGGCTAATGTAGGGACGAAGATCGCTGCAAACCCACACCGAGATAAATAACCCAACCATCTGCTTGCTGATAACACAACGAAACTCTCGCCCATGCATCCTCTTCCTCTCATAGTCAGATCCATGGTGGCAATCACGGTTTCCGTTCAAGGTCTCTCTGATGAGCGAATTCCATTTCATGCAAACGTTCGCGTTCTCGGACCCCAGAACATTGGATGGCTTCAACGGCACAATCTCTTGAAACCTGAATGAAACAAGGGAAGGGAGATACTCTTCATGCGAGGAGTTGATCTTTACCGATCACAGTAAAAAAAAAATGGAGGACAATACTAGGCCCCACAAGTGGAGCATATATTAGCGTATATTTTCTGCAGTTTGGTTGGTTCATCTACAGTATCTATAGCGCATGCTGATGCAGCATATGACTCATTCCACGTCAGTCTCTTTTGAAGTAATCCAATTGCGAAAACGGCTGATCCATGCAAGAATCACTTTATCTCATCCAATTTCTCATATTGACTTTTCTCTGCAAATAGGTGTCATTTTCCATTTTGTTTTGTTACTTACCCTAAAACGTAGATATCGTAGGAGTCGTTGCACGTATCTAAGAAGTCCTCCATCGCCATATCTTCGTCCAGTGCAACCCCGCCAACATTCCAAGTACTAACAAAAACTCTGAACTCCACAAGAGAGGAAGAAACAACCAAAGGAGTTAGAATTATGATTGTCTTACGTTGACCATCCAACTATCTTCTAAAACCATGTTAAACTTGACTGCAACCCTTCTTATAGGCTTCAGCTGTTAAAGAATTGATGGTACACACATGAACTGTTATGCCGCAACAACCTTAAATCTATAATCACCATGCGACGAATAAGGACAAGGGAAACTAAAAATTAGATAGGAGGGGGGGTTTTGAAATGATTACTTGTACTTGAGGGTGTCCCTGTGGTGATTCAAAATGCTCTGGCCGCTCAAGGAGGGCTCTTCCAATATGGAGAAGTCGAGGAGAGACTCTTCGACGTTGGTGGGGTAATCGGCGGCGAAGTTATTGCTTCCCAACCCCTTCCTCAGGATCTTGTTAGCTACCAATGTGGTCCACATGATGATGATGATCTGATCAAAACAGCAAGGTCCTGTGCATTAGTACGTTAATAAAATGCAAAAGGCATGGATATTATCACAAGCCACTGTGGCTAAGTAACATGCAGAGAAGATTGGATTTACTCTTGCTATTCCGGGACTTTGGCATACGAGAGAGAGAGAGAGAGAGAGAGAGAGAGAGAGAGAGAGAGAGAGAGAGAGAGAGAGAGAGAGAGCGAGAGAGAGGTTGCAGTCTTGAAGGGTAGAGAAGACTGAGGAGGATTCATCGAATAAGGAAGCCAACCCAGATAAAAAGAAATGGAGAGAGAGAGAGCGAGAGAGACAGAGAGAGAGTTATCTTTTTTTTTTTTTGGTTTTTTGAGTTATTTTAATAATTCTGGGCACGTATGCTTAGTTCTTGATATCCAACGTATATTTTCTTCCAATCTGATTGGTTAGGGTTATTAACATAACCATTGTCCACATTTATTTTTAAGTTCAATTTGAACGCGAGCAGGGTCCATACTTGGAACCCACCAGGCGGCTTGATTGGAAGAAGTTTCATTCAATCAGGATCAGAGACAAGAAAAATATATTTTTCTCTAATTATTTGGACGTTGGTTTTCTATTGATTCAGTTATCACATATATATATATATATATATATATATATATATATATATATATAGTTTCGATTTTCAAATCTACATGAAAACATATATGATCACGATTCAAGATAATCACAATGTGGCACATGCCCGAATGGCTTATTCATACATTATAAGAAGAATTTTCTTCCAATCAATCTTCTCATCATTAAATTACAAACATGCACGTCGCCTAAATGGATTAGTAATTAAGTTTCCGCACAAGTGATATTCATATCGGTGACCCATCAATTAAAATTATGGGTGGAGTTAATTTTGTCCAATCTCAAGAATGAGGGAAAACACGATCATAAGGAAAATAATTTTTATATTTTTTTTAGCCAAATGGGAGTCAACTATTTTTTTCTTTTGTCCTTGTGTTGAAAAGCTTATTAGTTGATTTGAAGGATATCTTAATATCTTATGTACCGCAGACTTTAATAGCACAAGTGGACGAGTCTTAGAAAATGGACTTTTTAGTATGATAATCTGCGGTATCGTTGGATGATGTGGCACAAGTAATAATTGCCTTTTTTTCTAATTTTGAAATAATGTTAAGTATAATAATTTCAGTACGAACGAATTGATATAATAAAGTTAAGTGACAGAATTTAATGGATGCTAAATTTGATAAACTTGTTTCACAGTCCAATTAGTTACAATCTGTCATGTCATTTGCCGTATATTTAGTAAACTAATTGCAATGCACCGAAAAATATTTTTCTTTTTGTTTGAGGAGTAGAGCGTTTACCTTTCTCACTTGCTCAGTAACGTTTGACATTGATTTCTATGTACACCGTTTGTATGAATATCAGGGAAAAATGACACATGATTTTTGAACTTTGACCCGATGTGCAATGTGGTCATTAAATTATGGCTCAATATGCAATATAGTCTTTAAACTTTTAATTTGTTCAATATGGTCCTTGAACTTTCAGTACTTGTTCAAGCTAGTCTTTGAACTATGTGAAAATATATAATATTGCCCCTGAACTTACATTAATGAAAGGATAACGTTTGATATTTTTGTAGAGTTTAGGGACTAGATTGAATATTTATCAAAAGTTCAATGATTATATTGAACAAATTAAAAGTACAGGGACCACATTGAATAAATTAAAAATTTCTTGACCACATTGCCCATTGGGCCAAAGTTTAAGGACTATTTATATCATAATTCTGAATACCATATGTTTACCCTCGCGTTGCGCTGGATGTTAGAAGATTAAGAAGAAAAGGAAAGGAAAGTAAAAAAAAAGAGAGAGAAAAACTTTTTGAAATTTTTTTAAGAAATTTGCAAAAATTGTCAACATTAGAGTTGACCGTGTCACGTGCGACGGTCAAAGTCACGTCAATGATTTCTAGTCAAAATTGGCCAGAAGGACTACCGTGGCAAATTGTTAAAACGTTTAGGAATAAATTAGCACAATTGAGAGGTTCTGGACTAAATTTGTTGTCGTACAATAGGTCTAGAACTTTTTGGACAATTTTTCCTAATTTTCAGCTAGCTTGCTTTTGTTATAGTAAATTTGATGTCATTAAAATGTTTATAAATTGGAAACTTTCATTGTAACTTGGAATTGTTAGAGTTCTATAGTGATTGAATTTTGTTCAAAGAATTTAATGGGACACCAAAGGCTACAACTCATGAGTTCATATCGGCATATACTTAAATTATAGATATGGGCGATAATTTTTGAAACTTTTTTTGTCAAAAGAAAATTGTATTCATTACTCAAAAAGATGCATGAGAAGAACATAGATTTTTTTACCAAAAAACAATACATAGACTTTCATAGCAAAGCAAATCGAAGCAGAGTAAAGCTCAGAATACTACAAAATAAAGCCAAATCCAAAAAACAAGTAGGATCAACAAGGTTCTAGCAGGGTTAAGTACACATTCGTTCCATAAGAACAGATCTATCAAGCAAAATAGTCGGCATCACTGGATCTCGTACCATTATCAGTGATGAGCAAATGCCGGATATTCCTTCTCTAGGGTTGTATGTTAAGACCCTACGGAAGGGAGTCCCTCATCGCTTGCGAGAAGCCAAGCCCCTCTATTTAAAAGCCTTCGGGGATGCCCTCACTTCACAAAAGCTCTTTTGGGGATGATAACCTTAGTTGGCTAGTTGACGGTCTCCCTAGGTTTGGCTTCATTTATACCATTGTCATACGGAGATAACCAAAACAGATTAAGCAAACACAAATCTAACTTTTTGGAAAAGCAAATCTTAGTAGTTGAGTGAAACGCCAGAGCCTCTGTGATTACCATTGAAACTGAAGGCAAAAGACCTATACACAAACAAAGCATAGGAGTATTGAATCCCCGAAAACATTATTAAACTCCCATATTTAAGTTGGAAGAGGATAGCCCCAAGATCTAAAACTAAATCGGAAGAATTTAAACTCTCAGATTTAGAACTAACCAGAAGAACAGAGCTCCTAGATCTAGATTGGGAGAGTAGAAAAAAAAAAAGAACAAGAAAACTCAAACAAAATCAACAAGAGAGGAAAGGGAGGGTGAGACTAGCTCAAACCCTCTCCCATACTTGAAGGTTGAAGAAGATGATGGAGAGAGAAGAGAGAGGGAGAGAAAGACTTTTGGGTTGCTAAGCTACATTGTGAAAGTTGAGTGAAGTCAATTCGCCAGCTGACCATAATGCCGCTTTGCTTCTCTCTATGTATAAAATGTAAGTTTGACTCCCACATAATTTAAGTTTTGATAAAAATGATTTGTCTAATGAAAAATACATAATAGAGCTTTTTTTTAGCATTAGAGATTAATTTTATTGAGGGTGACAATCTGCTTTATCTACATATATTGAGTAATTCTAGAATACACAGGTTGATAATCTACTTAATGGTGGTGGCTTCTTAACGAGCACCTTTTTCATATTTACTCTTAATTGGAAGATTTTAAGTGCTCACTATCTTACTAACCATCAACTCAATGATAAATAATAATAAAAAAGTATAGGTGTAATAATCATCATATTTTTAGAAGAATTTCATATGAATCTGTTAGAGTTATCTCATCAGATTTCACATACGTAAAATCCTCTAAAACTCACGTGCAATACTCCAACTTGCTTGAAAATGTGGGATATGACAATCTCATTACTAATAAATATATCTTATCTCATGGTGTTTCAGAATATAGTATATTCGTAATTTCATATTTGACAATTACTTCGAAGATACTAAAGCTAACCAAATCAAAATGCGATTGGTTCAATACATAAAATACGTTCTCGAGGCACTGCCAGCCAAGTTGGTATATTCTATGCCCCTTACGTGGGGCTACAACATGAATTGTGTCGTGTAATAGAAATGGTTAAAAAACTCTGCATGACCTCGCAACAGTATCTAACCTAACCTTGGAAAGATTCACACCGAAAACACGTCACGTTTAGTTTGTATCCCTCTGGTCGCCTGAAGACGCATCGGTCCAACTTTCATGCAGGTTGATCGAGATTAGCTGCCTGCTTATAATAATGCACTCAGCTTTCTCTGTTTGCTGCAATGAATCGGGAGAAATCAATAAAGATTTTGCAACTGGGATTTGATAACCACACTAATCTGCAACCACACAAATCGAAATCACGACTTCGTCTTAGTTTCGAGTCGCTGACCTCGGCAGTGTCAAACTCGGGACTCTCTCTCGCTCTCTCTCTCTCTCTCTCTCTCTCTCTCTCTCTCTCTCATACGTCTGCTGTGCATTTGTAAATCACCCACCAGTGTTGACCGTTAGAGCTGTAATTCTATAGTCCCCTTTCTTGTTTCCCTGTTGACCTCTGCCTTTCAAGGAGTGCGACGATGAGATTGGAAGCTACAATAAAAAAGCAAAAGAGTATCTTTCCATGAAGCCCCACTTGGTGTTTAATAATGTACAAGCAACGCGAAACGGTGATGGTGATCTCGAGCCTTCTTGCGGTTTCGAGTGAAAGCGATGCCGTTTTCAGTGTGGCCAACTGCCTTCGTCGCTAATTTTGCTATTGTCAAGAGGCCATGATGCCTCATGATGGTGAAGTCGGGAGTCTACATGATCAGCGGTTATTGTGGAAGTGGTTAAACCCGAGGCAGAGATGTAAGGCAAAACGGTCTCATTCGAGAGAACGAAATCTTATAATTATGAAAAAAAATAACGTAAGCCATTAGTTCGGTGATTGTAGCGCAATTCGCCCCTCAAATCAAAGGGCCAATCCGGGTCATAGCTTTTCAAGTTCAATTCATTCATTCATTTATTTATTTCCCATATTGACAACATAACAATCTCGAATAAGTCTCCCTCGCGTATCATTATCATTATTATTAGAATAAAAGTCACCAAAAACCCTAAATTATATTACTGTTGTCGCTACCTAAAATTTCT